TTTGTGGGTGTGTGTAGCTCTCTCTCTCTCTCTCTCTCTCTCTCTCTCTCTCTCTCTCTCTCTCTCTCTCTCTCTATCTCTCTCTCTCTCTCTCTCTCTCTCTCTCTCTGCAGAATCACATCCACTAATGAACTTATAGGGAGAGAATGTTTATGCATGGTATTTGGAGTCAAATCCTACATGAAATTTTGAAATGAAAATCGACTGGCACATTGCAATTCTCTCTTCTCCTGTTGCTTTGTATCCCTGCTGCTACAAAAAAAAGGAAAATCAGAACACTTTTATTTTTTAAGCTCTGCCGCATGTGTATCTCCATGCCTGTATGCCTGTGTAGGTGTGTGCGTGAGTGCGCATGCACACGTGTGCGCATGTAAGTGTGCAAAGTAACATCCCCGAAAATGAATGCCCAGGCCTGGAGGGATGAGGGGCGCACAAAGGGCCAAAGACACGCAGCTCGAGCTGAATGCTTCTCCCCGCAGCAGCTGCCAACAATCGGGGCCTTCTTCGCGCCGTGCAAAGCTGCCCCTGTGTCCCGCGGGTTTTCATTTGCATGTCCCCAATTTTGCACCTGCAGGCCTCTTCCAGAAAGCCATCATCCAGAGCGGGACGGCCCTGTCCAGCTGGGCCGTGAACTACCAGCCTGCCAAGTACACTCGGATGCTGGCAGACAAAGTGGGCTGCAACATGCTGGACACCACGGACCTGGTGGAATGCCTGCGGAATAAGAACTACAAGGAGCTCATCCAGCAGGCCATCACGCCGGCCACCTACCACATCGCCTTCGGGCCGGTCATCGACGGGGACGTCATCCCCGACGACCCCCAGATCCTCATGGAGCAGGGCGAGTTCCTCAACTACGACATCATGCTGGGCGTCAACCAGGGTGAGGGGCTCAAGTTCGTGGACGGCATCGTGGACAACGAGGACGGCGTGACGCCCAACGACTTCGACTTCTCCGTGTCCAACTTCGTGGACAACCTCTACGGCTACCCCGAGGGCAAGGACACCCTGAGGGAGACCATCAAGTTCATGTACACGGACTGGGCCGACAAGGAGAACCCCGAGACCCGGCGCAAGACGCTGGTGGCCCTGTTCACCGACCACCAGTGGGTGGCTCCTGCCGTGGCCACGGCCGACCTGCACGCGCAGTACGGGTCGCCCACCTACTTCTACGCCTTCTACCACCACTGCCAGAGCGAAATGAAGCCGAGCTGGGCGGACTCGGCCCACGGGGACGAGGTCCCCTATGTCTTTGGCATCCCCATGATCGGCCCCACTGAGCTCTTCAGCTGCAACTTCTCCAAGAACGACGTGATGCTGAGCGCTGTGGTCATGACCTACTGGACCAACTTCGCCAAGACCGGGTACGTGCGAGTTTGCATGCCCCAGTGGCCCTGCTCCGTGGCTTCTCAGCAGGGCAATGGGGTTCTCTCCAGTTGACAGGTGGTGTGTACGTAGCAGAACTCACTCTTTGGTTGTTTTCAAGAGCAGCATCTGTAGGAACCCATTTTCAGGGCGGTACTGGGAACCGAACCCAGGACCTCAAATGTGGTAGGCAACTGCTCGGGCACTCGGCTAGATCGTCAGCGTAGAGCCCAGATTCTTTAAAAAATACTACTAATAATAGTAATGATAATAATAATAATAATAATAATAATAAT